CTGGGATGATGCTGTGGGTGCAATAGCCCCACAGCAGCCCTGCCTGGGGACAGAGCAGCCCCCTTTTCACGTGCTGCCTGAAGCTGTGCCCAGCCAGGGGTAGGAGCAAAGTGCTCCTCAAGGTTTCCAGCTCCTCAACTCCAGCTTGGTCCACTGGAGCAGCGTGTTACATGTGGCTGGTGTAGAGTGCAGAGGGGAAATCACTGTTTAAAGCCATTCCCCTTGTCCTGTCCCTACGTCCGTTGTCCAAAGCCCCTCTCCAGGTTTCCTGGAGCCCCTTTAAGGCACTGGATCTGCTCTAAGGGCTCCCCAGAGCACAGCAGAGGGGCAGGATCCCCTCCCTGAGCTGCTGCTCACGCTCTGGGGGTGCACCCAGCACATGGGGGGGTTCTGGGCTCAAGTGCACACTGAAGCCGGGTCATGGGGAGCTTCTCCTCACCCAACACCCCAAGTCCTTCTCAGGGCTGGATGTACAATGTGTGTCTGATCTTGTGTTGGTGACACAAGGAAGGGAACTGTAACGTGAACTTGACCAGAGGTGTGCTGCTTGTGCTTTGCCTGTTGTGCACCGTTAGATGATGGGGTTTTGAGCTGTTTGCTCCCAAATCCATGGAAATCGCCGCTTTTCCCTGTGGCAGGGGCTGTACAGTGGGTTTGTGGAGGGGTTGGGGTCTCTTCTCTGCTTCCCATGTCCATGGGGGGCTGGCACAGCGCTGGTGCATCCCACTGCTGCTCCCAGCCTGGCACTACTGGGGGCTGAACCTGGCTGGGAACCTGCGCTCTAATCCTGCTCTTGTCTCCGCAGGGAGCAGGGATGGGCAGGGACAGATACTCCAGCGCTTCCCGGAGAAGGACTGGGAGGACAACCCCTTTCCCCAGGGCATCGAGCTGGTGAGTGCCACCCATCACAGCTGGTGATGTGCTATCCCGTGGGATCGGGATGCTGGGAAGCGTGACCGGTGCGTGGGGCAGGGGGCACGTGGCACTGTGTGCACACACCTCAATGGGCACTGCAGGGTCTGACCAGGGCACCCACCTCACTGGGGTCCCTCCTGCCCCCCGACACAGCTCCAGCTCTGGAAAACCACAGCTCCAGTGTGCTGAGCCATGCATAGGCTGCTGCGTGCCCTGCCTGGAGCTGGCTCTGTCCTGCCTCCTGTGCTCCCCATCCTGCTCTGGGATCAGCAGTCTGGGATGCTGGAACATCCTGAACATCCAGAACATCCTAGAGGAGCTGAATGGGTGCAGTATCACTATGGACAGCCCCATCACAGATAGCATAGCTCTGCCGCAGTTAAGCCTCTCCCAAGTGCTTTGCCTTGAAAACTGGTCTCCTCTTTGGGTTGGTGGCACTGGTGGCACTGGATGAGCTTTATGGTCCCTTCCAACCCAACCCAGTCTGGGATTCCATGACTCTACCTGGTGTAGTAAAGGGTGACCTGCCCTGTTTCCACACCAGGTCCCTGTGCTTCCCCGGGGCCTTGCTGAGGGGATGTCCTTGGGAGCCCGTTTTGGCTGCCCCCCCGCCCCCCATCTCATGGCCTCATCCAGACCTGGTGGTCTGGCAGATCCTGCTGCAGCTGCTGAGCAGCACATGCACTGAGTCCCTGGGATCATCACCCTCATCATCTCCTCGTCCTGTTACCAGAATTCCATCACAGTCTTGGGCTTTTTGTGCCGTTTCATCCCGAGGCAGAACTCTGTATTCATGTTCTGGTCTGTGTTTCCCGGTTGTCTGCAGGGCACTTGGAAACTGTCCCAAGCAAGAGGAAAGCTGCTCCCCCCCTTCAAGGGTCAAACTGTCCAGCCAAAACATCCCTGGAATTTAAACAATTGGAGCCCATTCCTGTTGGGAGCAGGGGGGGGCTCTGAGGCTTCCACAGCATCAGGAGGTGTTTGGGGGAGTGGGATGTAGGGGTGGAACAGGGCAGCTCCCCAGAGCCGGATGGAGCCCCCCTTGGGGTTTGCTACCATACCCGCAGCATCACGGTGCAGCCACTGCTGCTCTTGCTGCGGGAGAAGGTTCTCTGGCGTGGGCAGGGAGCTTGACCCTGTGGCTTCTGCCCTTGCGTGGCTCTGACAGGAACTCCACACGGAGCTGTCCCACGGCAATGGATGGAAGCTGCTCCGCAGACGGACACAGGATGTGATCTCTCGGTGCAGTGTCCTCCCCTCCAGGGCAGAGCTGGCTCCACTGGCAGCCCCGAGCCCAGGGAGGGTGCAGGAACACTGGGAGAGCAGGAGCCGGGCCAGGGGGTGATGACAGTCCCCAGGAGTGGTGGTCTTGGTGCCTATGGTGGTGCTGAGCGGGTGAGCAGGATGGGGACATGGATTCCTGCTAAAACTGGTGGGATTTTGTGAGGTGCTGGCACAGGGTGCCCAGAGAAGCTGTGGCTGCCCCAGCCCTGGCAGTGTTCAAGGCCAGGTTGGACACAGGGGCTTGGAGCAACCTGCTCTAGTGGAAGATGTCCCTGCCCGGGGCAGGGGTTGGGACTGGGGGGGATTTAAGGTCCTTCGCAACCCAATCCACTCTGTGATTCCATGGTTCACAGGGGTTCAGGCTGTGCAGTGGTTCCTGTCAGTTCTTTCTGGCCTTGTCACCCTATTCCCATCCTTGGTTTTGCTCAAGGCTCTGTGTCCTCAGGGCATATCCAGCGGGAAGGAGCGGCGCTGTCCCGGTGCTGTCCCGGTGCTGTCCCGCTCATGGCGAGTCCCCAGTGCCAGGAATTTTCCACAGCTCCTCAACAGCCAAATGCTGAGGAAATAGAGAAAAACCCCTTGAGACCTCGACCCCCCCAGGGAGTCCTGGGCCGAGGCTGGAATTACCCCCCACCCCGGGTCGTGGTGCCTGGAAAGTCCCAGGGATGGGCAGGGCTGTGTCCGGAGCTGCCTGAACCGTGGTGCTGGTGCTGGTGTTTTCCAGCTGCTGGTCCCAAGGGAGTGGTGCCACCTCCCAGAGTGGCCACGGGGCTGGGACACAGCCCTGGCAGTGTGCAGGTCACCTTCCATCATTCCCAAAGCTATTCCAGTGTCTTGAGTGTGGCCAACAGCACCTTGGGCTTCAGGGGCAAAGCAGAGCTCAGCTCATCACTGCCTGGGGCTGGGGAGCTCCTGAGGCTCCATGATGGCTGGAGGGTGGTGGTGGGTGCCCAGCTCAGCCACAGG